GGGGGGGGGGGGGGGGGCGTCGCAGTCACCACTGGCTATTCCATGGAACCTAAGCTGTCCCTGGCTGGAGAAAAGTGCCTTCCCGCCCGGCTTTTGCCAATCAATTCTTGTCACATCAGGAGCCCGCGGCTCTCCTCACAGAACCCACGGTGGAGCAAGGCGAAGGCAACAGAGCACGAAAGCCGGGCTGACGCACCCTTCCCGGTCCGCCCCCCCCCCCCCCCCCCCCCCCCCCCCCCCCCCCCCCCGCGCCCCCCCCCCCCCCCCCCCCCCCCCCCTCCCCGGCCGCCCCGCCGGGCCAGGGGGGGACGAGGCGGCCGGGCGGGGGTGGGGACCCATGTCTCAACCCCTGCTGCGGGGCCGCCGCAACCCTACTCCCGGCCCCAGAGCCTTCAATTCCCCACTCAGGCAAACTTTTCGAGGTCTCCCCACGGTCTGAGCAGCGGCGCAGTCGACGTACCTGAGGTCCGCTGGTTTGCCGGTCGATTTCCGTCACCCGGCTCCTCAGGTCTGTCGCGGGTGGTCCCTTCCCCTCACCAGGGGTTGAGACATGGGTCCCCACCCCCGCCCGGCCGCCTCGTCCCCCCCTACCCCACCCCCGCCCTCGAAAGCCGGGCTCCCGCGAGTGGCGCCGGGAGTTTGGCGCCGCGGAAAGGAGAAGTGGAAGTTGAGCGCGGCGCCCAGTCGGTCCTCGTGGCCACCCAGGGCTGCCGTCGCCCGCCCTCTTTCCCTCCCTCCTTCTCTCCTCGGGGCCCGCCTGCCCCCGCCGCCCCGCGCCCGTGACTCACCTCAGCGCTAGGGCAGGCTGGTCCGGGCGGGCAAGCCTCAGGGCTCTCCCACACGTCGTGCCGCCGCTGCCAATGGCAAAGTTGGAGGGCTAGATGCAAACACCAGGTGAGACAGTGGCGCCTGGGCTAAAAAAGAGGATGAGCCGGCCTGTGCGCTCACGGGAATCTGGGGGAGGCGGGATGGAGGGCTCTGAGGAAGCCAGGCTGCGCCGAGGGGACGGCGGCAGGGGGCGCCCACAGAGGGGCGGCGAGCTGAGGGAGACCTGCTCTGAGACGAGCGAGAGAAAGGGGAAATCGCACTGGAGACACTCACACGTCCCCGCGGGCGGAGGCTGGGCCGGGCGCGAAGGAGGCAGGGCGAGGAGGGAATGAAGAGCCGGAGGGAGGGACCGACGGGAGGGACCACGGGCGGGCAGGCGGGCGGGGTGAAGGAGGGGCGGTTGGGAGGGACTACGCACAGCGGTGGAAACAGCGCCCCTCCACCCCAACCCCGCCGCGGTCGCCAGCACGACAGGGAAAGCCTTGCCAGGGGCCCCGCCTCCTTCCTAGAGAGGCTCGCCTCACCTCACCCTGTCCGCCCACGGAGGATAGGTCAGAGAAGGCAGAGGCCCTCCTGAACTCAGGTCTCACAAGCCGCTTTCCTAGCTAGCAAACCCCCCCCCTCCCCGCCACACACACACACTCACACACACTGCTCATAATTGGCGGGCCCAGGTGCCCTCATCTCTGACTGGGCTCTTCTGGGTGAGAAGTCACACACACACTATCCCGTGTATATATCCTGGGGATTTTGGAAGGCGGGTATCCTGCCACTCAGGCCTGTGCACTCCAATAACTTGATACCTCTGCTGTCCCCCACCCCACTAGCACTCCACCTTATCAAGCAAGCATCTGCTGTGTGCTAACCAGGTGGCCTAGCAGTGGGTGTTACCCAGAGATGGACAGAGGGTACATTTGACAGACAATGTTCTCCCTGACCCCCATCCCTTGGAGTCTCAGGCCAGGTATTTCCTGGATTGGTGTGACTAGAAAGTTGCATGGACTTCTAGGGAAATCCAGCTTAAGGCACTTTGAGAGCCAACACAACAGGTGTATAGACAGCCAGAATTAGGGTTCAGGGAGAGAGCCCATGCGCTACACATCTTCAATATAAAGCAAAGCAATGGCTGTATTTGAACTGCCTACCTGAACCCATTTTCTGTTTTGTTCCCCTTTTGCCATTTTTCTGCCTCTATATCCACACCAGCCTGGATCTGGTACTGCAACTATGGTCCTGCGAAGGTGTCTACTGGAAATTGTCAAGTCTCACAGCTCTGTGCAGACTAAAGCAAGGGTGGAATGGGGATGCTGGAGAGGCTGGGGGCGGGGCACAGTGAAAAAGCAACAAGACTTGACCTTGGCAGAAAGCTGCTGAAAGCTCCAGTGGAGGAGGGCCCTCTGAGGGCCAAAGGGGCTTCAGTTCAGGAACTACTCAACCATCTCCAAAAGCCTGCTCTTTGGGAAAGATGATCCCTGGCATAAGACTTAGAGACAGGAGTGATAGTGGGTGACATCATCAAAATGGTTGTGTATCACAGGGTAACAGTAAAAGATCTAGTGGGTCCCGAACAAATCCCGAACAAAGATCTATGGTTATCCATAGATAGACAAGTCTTCATTCAGAGCGAGGACCAAGAACAAATTTCCATTTCTTTTTCTTTTACAAGTGAGCACATTCTCTTTAGGGGATTCTAGATCCTGGAAAAAACACAGCTTTCTGTTGGACTCCTGCCGGTGAGGCTCTACTTTCTAGTTTGGGGTAGATCTGAAATGCTTCAATGTGCACTAAGGCCAAACTGGGTACAAAAATTAAAACAGTAAGCCTCACATAATGCTGCAGGCCTTTAATCCCAGAACTGAGAAGGTAGAGGCAGGTGGATGTCTGTGAATAAGGCCTGTTTGGTTTAGAGTCATAGTAAATTCCAGGCTAGTCACAGGCTACATAGTGAGACTCAATCTAAAAAAGAAAACCAAACAAACCACAAACCAACCAGCTGGAGAGATGGCTCAGTACGTCAGAGCACTTTTTGTTCTTGTAGAGGACCCAGGTTTGGTTCTCAGCACCAACAATGGTGGATCTGATTCCCTCTTATGACCTCTGAGGGCACCAGGTTCACCTTTAGTACACAGGTGTGCATGCAGGCAAAACACTTCTACACAGAAAATAATAAAATTAAAAATAAAAATGAAAATTGAGGTTGAGTAGGGTGTGTGGTACAGGCCTTTATTTCTAACATTTGAGAGACAGAAACAGAAGGATCTCTGAGTCCAAGACCAGTCTGATCTATATAGCAAGTTCCAAGACAGCCAGAGCTATACACCTCTGTGCAGATTTGGCTGTCCTGGACTCGATTTGTAGACCAGGCTGGCCTTGAACTCACACAGATCTGCCTGCCTCTGCTTCCCAGAGTGCTGAGATTACAGGCTTGCACCACCCCACCCCAACTGAAACCCTGTCTTTAATAAATCACAGGCATGGGAGCAGGGGCGCTAAAGAGATACCTGGAGGCTAAGAGCATTTGTTGCTCTTGCAGAGGATGCAAGTTCAATTCACAGCACCCACATGGTGGCTGACATCTGTAACTCCAGTTACAATGGATCCTATGACCTCTTCTGACATATGAGTCTGACAGTCACTCACATGCAGGCAAAACATTCATACACACAAAGATAAAATAAATCCTGAAAATCAACTGAGAATGATAAGAACCACCCCCACAAAGCTGTGGTGAGGACAAAGTGAGATGGCATAGTCTATGGCAGTGCCTTGTGCCTAGTAAGCCCTCAGTGAATGTTAGCTATTTTCAATATCCTTTTGCTTCCTCAATCCAGTTCTTGGAAGAAAATGTAGCAGGACCAAGGCAGAAGCTGCTAAGTACTTAAGGTGGAGTCCTTCTGAAAATATATGTAGTGTCAACAAAGCTGAAGCCTAAAGGCAGAGTGTGAGGCAAGCTCTTCCTCTTGGGAAGGACAGGAAAAAAGGTCAACACTGGACCACTCAAGATGTCTGGCCGGATTACCTGCTGATGACCTGCAGCCCACAGCTTGTGGGAATCCCGTAAGTTCCCACCTTCCCTGGCCACTCAAAACTAACCACAACCCAACACCCTTCCAGTTGAAGTCAAAGCAAACCCTACTTCACCCTCAATTTCATGAAAATCCTGGGCTCATCTCACCTTGGGAAGCCATGAACCACCTGAATAACATTTCTGGCTGCCTTTACCCATAGCCCTGTGCTCCTCAGCCTGCTAGCCCTTCCCCACTTGTCTCCCATGGTCCATGTACCCACTGGGTAAGCCCCCAGCAGGTGGGGCCAGCCAGACTGACTTTACCATTCTTTTGCAGACAGCCACTGTCTTTGGCAATCGCTCATTCCCTGACTTGACAGAAATTCCCCTTTTCATATTGCCTGTAAGATACCCAGGAAGTGCCACTCAGCAGTGCCCTCTCAGTCTCTCTTACCTCCCTGTTCCTTGACTGGCTTGCCTTGACTAGCTCTCAGGCCTCAAAACCTGATTCCTGCCAGAGTCTGAAGGACCTCTACCTTGACAGCCTCCATTGCCTCCTCTCTGTGCCTCAAAGCCCGTTTTCTTCTGTAAACTGCCCTGGGTTGTTTGGAGATAGGATAATTTTTTGTTTGCCTCCCTCACCAAACTCATCGGCCTCAACAAATTCTTTTCAGTCCTGTGACCAGAACAAAATACCACAATGCCGGGTTCTGTGGCCATTGATTTTACCACAGAAATATACAAGAAACTCTGTGGATTCATCAGATATTTTGAAGGAAAAGCATATTCAGAATCAGGTAGAGAAATTAGTTTCAAAGGAATCCTCCCACTCTAAAGCTGAGAAGCTCTGTTAGCCTTTTGTAAAGCAAGCCATCATTTTTCAGTTGTGTTTAGTAACCACGTTTGTAGTCATGGGGTTTCCAGAAAGGTCTAGGTATCTAAATGACAGGCAGAAATTTTGATGCCTCAAATTATAGCTAATCAACATAGGCTGTTTGTTCTAAAAGGCTGGTTGAGAGCCGGGCTTATAATCCCAGCACTCTAGGAGGCAGAGGCAGGCGGATCTCTGTAAATTCGAGGTTGGCCTAGTCTACAAAGCCCAGGACACCCAAGGCTACACAGAAAAGGCCTGTCTCAAAACAACAATAACAATAATAAATAAATAAATAAATAAATAAATAAATAAATAAATAAATAAATAGATAGATAGATAGATAAATAAATACACAAACAAATAAAAAAGGCTGGGAGAATGGCACAGAACAGAAAAAAATGTTGTTATCATGCAAGCCTAACCACCTAGATTCAATCCTGAAAACCCACATAAAAAGTCTTAAGTAGGTGGTGCACATCTGTAATCCATGTCCAGATGGGAGGAGGAGGAGGCAGGTGACTCAGGGAAAGCTCTAGGGCTATGTGGAGTAAGATTTGCAGTGGCAGAACAACTAGACGGACCCTGCATCAAAACAAGTGGAAGACAAAAACTGACTCCCAGAAGTTGACCTCTAATTTTCAAATGTGTGTCATGCACAAATACATATGCATAAGTACGTACACATGCATACATACATACATACATACATACATACATACATACATTTTTTAGAGATTAAAAACGTGTTGTTGTTTTTTTTCCCAAAGACACGATTTCTCTGTGAGGTCTGGCTGTCCTTAAACTCACTTTGTATATCAGGCAAGCCTCAAACTCAAAGATCCACTGGCTTCTGCCTCCCAAGTATTGGGGGATTAAAGGCATATGCCACCTCTGCCAGGCTAAAGATGAAAAACTTTTAAGTAAGGATTACATGTTTGCTTTCCTGACAGTCCCCAGAACACTGAAAGCCCCTACAAAACTTCAGGGAAACAAGTGTCTCATTTCTTGGTAGGCTAGAGAGCAGCTCCAGAGAATGCTGAAGGGAGTTGGTGACTTGATAGCTGATGCTGCAAGCCTTGAGCTGGCACTGAACATGTCAACCCTAGAGGCAGTGTCTCATAGCAAGTGTTGTCCGCACCATACATTCAGGAGCCTGGCTCATGTTTGGAAAACATACACATTTTCCATGGCACTTCAGTGATGGTGGTAGGGAGGCTTGGGAAGTAAGAAGTGGGAAAGGAGACAAACCTATGATTCACTTGAGAAAATGAAATGGCCCCAGGCAGAGCTCAGCAAAGTAGGGCAATCCCCCTGGAGTCTCAAATACTGCCAGACCTTAGTTCCTCTGCTTTAGGAATCTACCAGAGATAGTACAGCATTTAAGGGTTCAGGACCACTGATC